TTCCTTTTTTATGATTAAATTATGTTCCATTGCACAGAGAGACCACATTTTGTTTATCCATTTATCTGTCAGTTTTTCAAAATGTAAACATTGTATGTCATTCGCTAGTATTTTAAATCTGCATATATACTGTTGCAGGTTTCCAGTTTCTTCTAAGAGCTCGGAATGCTCGGCCACATGAGGTCTGGGCTCCAGGCGCTCACAGGTTTCATCTGCCCGGCCACTTTGCTTCCCAAACTGGGTGGCATCTGAGTCATGGGAGGGGGGTGCCACCACCTGTGGTTCCTTGGCTGGACAGCCCATGGGAGAAGGATACTGGCAGCTCAAGAGTCTGGGCCACCACCCTGGGCCCCTGAGCTGGGAGTACCTGCCCGTGTGTCCTCACAGCACATGAGTCTCCTGCTCACTCAAGCCTGGGGAAGCACAGGACAAAGGGGGTCCACCCTCCCGGAGAAAACCTGGTCAGGGAGGCAGGTGGTCAGGATGTTGCCTCCGGGGTGTGGCCCTGCAGAGGAGAAGGGGTGGCTGGGCCTCATCCCCATGCTGAGTGCAGTGACCGCTCACCGAGGGCCAGATGTGGTACCGGTTGACCCTTCTAGCTACATCCTCCTTCAAGTGGAGGAAGATGCTACCTCCAAGGTCAAACAAGTGGCTTGTTGGGGTGGTGCTAGGGTGTGAAGTGACAGGAGCTCAGTGGATCGGCCAGTGTGAGTGTCCATCCTTACCTGGCGGAGGATTCAGAACCTCAGGTGTGGGGGCCTCTCCAGCAACAGGCCCTGCCCTGGTGGGGGGAGGGCAGCTCCCAGGACTAATCCTGGGCCATGTGAAGGAGGCATGGCCAGGGCTTGAGTACCTCCTTCCTAGGAATAGAGGGAGAAGGAGGGTGGCTTTGAGCCAGGCCTGAAGGTTGACTGACATTTACTGAGCTGGAAGCAACATGGCAGGCAGGCAGCAGTGCCCAAAGCAAAGGTCTGGAAATGTAGGTCCAGTGGTGGCCAGTAGAGTGGGACCTGGGCTGGGGAGAGACTGCAGCGGCCATGGGACCGACAACACACTGGGCAGGCTGGGGGGAGCAGGGAGGTTATTGAACAGGGCAGTGATGATTAGGCCAGTGCTGGGAAACAGTGGGGCGGGGCCATAGGATAGAGGGGAGCTGGGGTGCTGAAGAGGGGGGGCAGTGAAGGAGATGGGTGGGTGGGTGGGTGTGGTCTGGAGGTCGGAGAGTGCTTGTGGTTCAGTGACTCACATCTGCCCCCAGGAGGGCCTGCACCTTGGTTGTAGTCCCTACTTTGTTTCCCAGCAGGGCCAGGGCCAGCATGCAGTAGATGCTCAGTAAATACTGCTGGTCTGGATTGGTGCTGGAGATAACTACCAGGAGAAAGCCAGGCCCATCTGTGATGGAGGAGAGGGGGCGGGCCGCGAGGTCTCAGGGTAGCAGGACCCAAGGCCTGGGGGCTATGGAGTGTGGCTGAGGGAGGGGGTAGCAGTGGGGCAGCTTTGCGCAGACCGGAGCTGCCCTGTAGGAGGATGGAGGGAGCGGTGGCTGCATAGAGGAGGCCAGGCAGCCTGGCCCAGGGACCTGCGGCAGCTGAGGGGGAGGAGGCCTGTCCCATCCCCCTCTGCCCAGGGACCCGGCTGCTTGACTGGCAGTCCGGCCCCGCCCCCTGGCAGCAGGGAGGCCAGTGATTGGTTGAGGCTCTAGAGCCACTCAGTCGCCATGGGGACGCTCTGGAGGCGCTGGTGCGCCCAGCACTGAAGA